TGTTACAGGACCCATGACACAACCCGGACGATTCAAGAGATCTGAAACATTATCTTTCTTCGACGGAAGGCTTGGGCATGGAATTAAGCATAACGATCAAGCATGGAATGTCCCATTTCGAAAATATTGCTTGTCTACAAAAATAATAATGAAAATATAAACAACGTTAAACCCAAAGCATGGCTTATACCGTTCACACAGATAGTGTAACATCCGCACAACACGAACAGCTTGAATATGGGACGCAATCGCCAGTGTAAAACCCACCAAATTGCACCCAAACCTTCGCTTCGTCGGCGGGACGTCCGCGGACGTATTGACTGAGGGCTCCAAACGGGCAATGCCACTGTGCTCGGAAGTTCACGAAAACCCCGTCAAGTTCGCCGTTTCAGGAAGCGTTCGTAGTTTCTTTGTTCCGGCCTGTAAATGCTGGGCGGCTCTCGTGCACGGCATTGCGACATTGCAACGCGGCATTTACGACCACCCACATGCCACTGCCAGGCCTCTCGTGTGCGCGGTATTAGCTCGCGCAGCCATGACGGGACCATTTAGGCTATAGTTCCACACCGCCACCCGGGACGCCACCTCTGCGGGCGAAACCCTGACGGCATCAATACCTCCGCTGTCTGCCAGTCATGGACGCGTCGGCGGGTGCCTTGGCTTGGCCCCGGCGTCGGCCCCCTGGACTGTTGCGGTCAGCGGAGCCGCTGACGTCAGCGGAGCTGCTGTCGCCGGCCAGGGAGTCGCTTTGTTCCGGGAGACCCGCCCGCGCCGACAGCAAACAGCGCCGGGGGGGGGGGGGGGGGGGGGTAGCCGCGGCCAGCCCTGGCCTTGCCGTCAGACACACGCCGCCTGAAGGGCTGGGTGGTCAGCGGGGCGAGGGGTGGCGGAGGCGGGAGGAGAGGGACGTCTGACGATAGCCAGTCCAGTGCGGAGCCCGAGCGCTCCCGTCCCGCCTCTGCTGTCACGTCCGTTTTGGGTGCAGCCGGTAACATTTGAAGTGCTATGGGACATTTTACTTAGAATCATCAGAAGTTATGAGTCCAATGGCGTCAGTGCCCGGTCTTGTTAGGCGTGTTTTTTCTTCTAGGGCATTTGTCATGTGTGACATGGCATTAACAGCAGTGTAGTAACCGGTAACCAGCGTTTCCGTTTCGTGGAAGCATGCCTCAGTTTCGGTAATCCCTAAAGACAAGACCTTGTAAAACCCGGCCAACATCTGTTTTACTCGGTACCGTGGAGATCGCTGAATGCATAGTATAGAGTCATCTCGCCGAAAAAATAACGAGCCACATTGTACTTGCTAACGCTCAGCAAGGCTTTCCACGCGAGCGTTCGAGACAGCACTAGCTATGATTAATGATAGAATGCAGGGTGCGATGGATACCAGCGGGATCTCCAGCCTGATGTTTTTAGTCGCATCAAAATGCTTTGATGTCATGTCCCACCAGTACGTCTAAAAAGTTAAATCGATGCAGCATCGACATGGAATGGCTCCGTGCTTGCCTTTCTATACCTACACAGCCGGTAAAAATCCCAACACGGACCGATTCGCCATATGCCTTCTATTTCACAGTTTTCTGAATGGTGTTTATCAGCGTCGTGTTGTTTGCCACATTTGCCAACGCAATGTCTTCGTATGTACCAGACCCGACTGTCGTCAAAGTCGCATGCGACGGGCATGAACCATCATTCGTTTGCGATAAAGATCGAACCTGAGGCGTAGGATCACGAAGTTGGGACTGACGCTGACTCAATTGTTGGCGTGAGCTGGCACCGGTGACGTGCTTGTGAGCGCCGCAAAAAATCAGCAGATAGTCTTCGGTTATTGGCCGATGCTGGGAGGCGTGTCATCGGTCAACGTGAGGTTCAGTGGCATCAGCAACAAAGGATCGTGGTTAAATCGTGGTTACTAAATAGCCTAGTTCCCGCTGAGGATATGGATACGCACTCACAGCGATATGTGTGTTATTGGGTTTTTCGACACACTCAGCAGCTGGGGCTTTATTGCGTCGCCTGCCTCTCACCCTGGCAAGAAGGGCGGGCACCGCGGAGAATCGAACCATGTACCTCTAGTTTCCCAGACGCGCCGCAGTCATAGTGATATGGATATGCATTCACAGCGATATGGATAGGCATCTAAAGCGATATGAACATGCATCTATAGCGATATGAACTCATATCTATAGAGATACGAATACGCATCTATAACGATATGACTACGCATCTATAGCGATATGAATAGGCATCTACAGCGATATGAACACGCATTTATAGCGATATGGATATGCACCTTTAGCGATAAGAACACGCGTATATAGCGATATGAATACGCATCTATGGCGACATGAATACGCATCTATAGTGATATGAACACGCATTTATAGCGATATGGATACGCACCTATAGCGATAAGAACATGCATTTATAGCGATATGGATATGCATCTATCGCGATAAGAACACGCATCTATAGCGATGTGAATACGCATCTATAGCAA